ACTTGACACCATACTGATAATAAATCAAATTATTGAAATAAATCAAACTCACCTATGTAAATACTATATTGTCTCCCTATGTAAGAAACTGGAAGTAAATAAGATCCAAAGATCTTTAATAGATATTTTGAAAGGTAAAAAACTCTCAAAGGGAAAAAATAACTCAGATAGGAGAAAGGAGAACAGAAGGAAAGGAAAAGGAAAAATATATTAATTTCTTTATATATACATATAATATCTAAGATGATTATACCGATTCTATTACTTTTTGGAAAAGAAAAGTTAATGCTTGTACAATTAGATCAATTTTGCACGTCTATATCTGGTAAGCAAACCTTCTGAGGATAACAATATGCAATGTTACAACCATTGTTAAATTCCTGTCATTTTGTTTTGAAAGAATATGCTGTTATTGTTTTGGCATTTTTGTTGTTGTTGTAGCTGTTTGTTTTATTTTTGGGGTTTTTTTCTGTGTTTTTTTTTTTTCTCTTTAAAATAAAAGAAAGCAGTTTCCCTTAAATTAAGTTTTTTTTTAATTGAACTACTTCCCTTTTTTCCTTCCTTACATATTTTTTTATGTTCTCCACCATGAATGGAGAACCTTTGTTTTATTGTATAAGTTGCCTTGTACAAAAAAAATCATAGAAAATCTCACCTTATGTGAAGCTTTTGTTCTATGATAGTGGAATCTATGTCTCTTCTGTTGAACATAAATTTGCTTTATACAACAGATGTGGACTCGGTCAGCCTTGAGAAATTTGCTAAGCTTTCCCTCTCATTCTTGGAATACTGTGACCTCCTCGTGATGATTTTGGAATAGTCAGCTGGACAACAAAAGGCCACATGGACAGAGGCCATCCCAGGCAACTCCCTAGTGACCTTCTAGTCAAATGCAAAGGCATATGCAAGCCCAGACCAAAGCATCAGAGGAACTACTTGGCCAACCTTCAGTTTTGTAACTGAATAGTTTTAGGATGGTTTGTTATACAGCAAAAGAGAATTGAAAAGGGCTTCAGACATAGCATGACAGGCATACTTCATCAAGTTGGCTCCCATGAATGTTATATATTCTGTAATCTTTGTCCTTGGCTATGTATTAGTTTTGGTTACACCTCCAAAATACATCTGTAATCAGAACATGTCCCTTCATTTCAAGTACTATTATTCTGACCCAGTCCATCATTGTGTGTCAATGAAACAAACTCCTTTCTCCTACTCTTTCCTTGTGTGAGTTTCTTCTTCACCAATAACTAGAAATATCCTTTTAAAACAAGGATACTCTATCATTATTGTACTCAAAAACTTACTGTGGTTTCCTATTCCATTCAGAATATAATCCAAGATTGTTTTAGACTGGCCCTTAGCATTCAAATCAGTCTGGACTCCACTTATCTCTTCTTCCTATTAGATTTCTCCTCAGACACACCAGTAAGAACCTACATTTGCATTTTCCATTTCTCCTTCCAGAAATTTTTTATCCAAGTAACTACATGCCTTGCTCAGTCTGACCATGTGTCTACTCCAGGAACATATACTCACTTCAGTATCACTTACTGAGAGACAGCGTCTGTGAACTGCTTATTTATAATTTCAGATCTCCTGGACTTCCTGTTATCCTTCCATGCCACCCTCACATAACACTATCACTTGAATTATTACATACATTACTTTCTTATGCCCTCAAGAAAACATAATATAAGTTCGATGGCTTAAAAAAACAATTATTTGCTTACAGGTTTTCAAGACTAAAATTCTGAAGTCAAAATGTCAACAGGTACAGGAATATGTTGGTGTTCCACTGCTTGGAAATTTGTTAAATTTTGGTGAATTTTGCTATGAAAATTTTTTCCCAGTTACTTACCATTTGTTTGCTGGTCAAAGTAAAATGTAGAGCATGGTATTAATTGCCTCATCACTTGCTAATACTGCTTCAACAAAATAATTTGTTTGGTACTTGTCATTTTTTTTTCATGATTCTTGCCTGGAAGAGCCAATTAATGATGAGTACCAAGGCACCAGTGTGTTTTCTTTGAATATTCTAGCGGAGAATTTTGACTTGTGTCAAAAGCTTTTGGTGACTAGGGGGATTCCTGGATGTGTAGATGCGTGGATGCACAACTCCAATTTCTGTTTTCATCTTCTCTGTAGTTTTCTTCCCTTTTCTCTCCTAAAGGCACCTTCTCAATGGACTCAGAGCCCACTCAGACAATCCAGAATGGTCTCATAGTGTGATACTTAGCATTATTGTATTTCAAATGTATTTCCACCAAAAATACTCTACAATCACAAGTTGCAGGCACAGGATATGTACATCCCTTTCTGGGATCCACTATTCAACCCGCTGTAGTATGTATGTATGCATGCATGTATAATGTTTGTAGAAATGTAGAAATCTGTTTGCAGAAATCTGCTATTTTTGCTCAACAGACAACAAGAATTTTGATTTATTTTTATCATATCTTTCACAATAGATATGTAACAAATATTCATTGAATAAATGAATATGATGAGTTAAAATATTTACTGCATGTGAGATTCATATATTCACATCTTTTTTTGTGAAACTCTTTATAAGATTCGTTAGTGATGACTACATCTTCAGGGCTTGGTCCCTGAGAAAACAGCTAAAACTCAACTTTAAACTTTTTCTGGGTGACCTCTACAAACTCATCAGTGTCAGCCTAAAACTTTGAGTTTACTTTGTATGCCCCACATTCATTTTCCCCAGCTTGTTTCTCTGTGACTTTAACACTACTATAATAATTCTTCTCTCTGTTAGGAAGATTTCTACATTAGTCTGAGTCATATCCTCTACTTTCCCTAGCCTGTGGGTTTGTGGAAGTCTTTTCATAAGGATGATAAGGGCACATTACTGCTTCTCATTTGTTCTTTGAAGCACAGTTTAATAGATTTGCTGGGAAACCCTACTTCAACAGTTTCCTCTACATGAATACTTGTGGAAGTAACAGAGAGTTGAAGAGCCCCTTATATTTGTGGCCTCCCACGCTGCGTACAGGAAGCCTAGTCTGTTAGGGATGGCTGTAGACAGGTGAGAGCATAGCCTTTCTGATTAGCTTCCTCCAGGTGAGCCCCATCCATGTTTGGACTTTACTCTGCCCTAGAGAAATGGTAGGATCTTTCTGCTCATGTCAGTGGATACTCATAACTACCATGCACATCTTGCCAAGAAGCATTATTATTTCTCTTTTATATATGAGCAGTCAGTGGTTATGGGGGTGAAGATAGTTTATCCAAGGTCATGTGGCAAAAACATATCTGGGTTAAGATTCAGTATATTGTCAGAATACTTCATCTTTCATTTCTTAATCTGCATTGATTACATCTTGGTCTGTTTTTAATGCACATATTCAACATTCCTGTATGAGTCAGCCATCACTGTTTGACTCAGGGAAATTCCCTCTTCACAAATAATTTCCTTTCATATTAATAAATGCATTAATAATCACTTTGTATTACATTAATGCACCAAAATATATCCCATGAACAACCATTAATTATAAGCATTGTTTCTTTTTGTATGTTTTCAAAAGCAAGGTGTGCTTTTGTTTCCTCTTTGTTTCCTTTCTTTCCTGGAAACCACAATTCACATTTGTCCACTTTTATATTATTAACTGTGCACCAAGTACAGCAATTCACTAGCTTCCACAGTTGGCAACTGAAGAAGCATATGTCTCCCTAGAGACAACTCCTACCCCGTGCTGGAGAAAGGATCCAGGGCACAGAGCCAGGAGACAGTCCTGACCTCTGCTCCCCACTGCCTAGTCCCACACACATGTGATCTACCTCTTTAAGTATCTGTTCAGGCAGTTCATAAAATGAGTAAATACTTCTACCTAATGGTTCTTCAAAAGAAAAAGAAAATATTCTTGAAAGTGTTGCTGCATTTAGATGAAATATTTGCAAATGCCATCTGTGCTCCTATTTTGAATTTTTCATATAAAAATTAAATTCTTACTGATATAAGAATATTATATTAAATGCAACTTAGAGTTCCCCTTGCTATTGGCAAGACTGGACCAATAATGGGCCACATAGATATGTTTGATTAAAAAGGTCCCCTGTACATGTGTACATGTGTAAAGTGTCAGATAAAGAGAGTTTAGAATCACTATAAAAAAATCCATCACAAATCCTAAAACTAGATTGATTACTTGTAAGTAAAAATAGTGCAGGAAGAATAAAAGCCAGAGGAAGTAAAAGAAAAATGAATGGGAAAACACTGGGATCAGATGAAAAGAGTACTGATGAGTACAGGTTCACTCAAGAACTAATGTATCACATGATAGTATCTGTTTTATGCTCATTCATTGAAAGACACAAACATTGTGACATTAAACACTGTGAAGACGAGTATGAAATGCTATAAAAGGCAACTGTATAAATTACATCAGAAGGCAAAATATTATTGCACGAATTATGTTCACTCCCAGACAAGAGAAAACATTCTATCTGAAGCAGAAAGGATTAACATAGGTAAGTAGATGCTGGCAACAGTCTTACAGAGACTTGAGGAGCGACTTCCAACTCCTTATCAAGACAAACTCTCAGCACAGCAGAAATAGGACCGTGCGGGGAATGCCTACCTCTGTCACAGTTAGGAAGACAGGAAATCAAGAGGCCACTGTCAAATCCACAGGCCTCAAAGATGTAGGTCTTTGTAGGTTTTCTAGATCTAAAAAGAGTTGACTAATACATCACTGTCTCTCATGCCATTTAATTCATTTATTAATTGACTAATAATCTGAAAAGCTCCATTTTAGATGACAACTAACAATAATGCTTTCTTCTAGCTATCTCTCTATGACGCACATGCTCTTACAGCATAGACGTCACAACATAGTTTGAAGCCACCAAGGTGCTAAGGCTGGCGTGGGCATGAGGGTGCTGTGTAAATGCAAGCAGAGGAGGAACGAAGAAGGAATGGTGGCGGAGTAGCAGAGCAGGCACTCCCTCCTCTCTTTCTCAATTCTCCTAATAGACTAGTCAGACCCAGTTGCCTGGTAACAGCACAATTTCTTCAGAGCTTCTTTCACTTCCCGATTCCTGAGGCAGTAAATGAAAGGGTTGAGAGCGGGGGTGACAATGGCATAGAAGATGGAGATAATTTTGTTCATATTGAAGGCATGGATTGCTCGGGGCCGGGCATACATGAAAATCGTGGCAGAGTAGAAGATGGTAACCACCACCAGGTGGGAAGCACACGTGGAGAAAGCTTTCTGCTTTCCTGTGGGCATGCGTAACACAGTGGCAAGGATGCACCCATAGGACAGCACTGTGATTGAGAGTGGGCAGAGGAAGATGATTAGGGCCAGGACAAAGTCTACCAGCTCAGCTAGGGACATGTCTGTGCAGGAGAGGTTGAGTACTGGGGAGATGTCACAGAAGAAGTGATTGATGACATTGGGCCCGCAGAAGGAGAGACGGGAGATGAAGAAGATCTTTGCCAGAGAGATGCCAAAGCCGATGCCCCAGGAACCAAAAGCCAAATGGAAACAGAGCCTGTGGCTCATGATGGTGGGATAGTGGAGTGGACGGCAGATGGCCACATAACGGTCGTAGGCCATGGCAGCCAGGAGCACACATTCTGTGCACATGAGTGCAATGAAGAAGTAAAGCTGTGCCATGCAGTGAGTGAAGGAAATGCTGTTGTTCATAGACCAAAAGCTGAACAGCAGCTTGGGCACAGTCACTGAGATGTACCAGGTCTCCAGAAATGACAGGTTGGCCAGAAAGAAGTACATGGGCTTGTGCAGTGTCCGATTCTGCTGGACAAGAAGGATGATGATCACATTTTCAGTCACTGTCAGCACATAGGACACCAGGAACATGAGGAATACTGCAGTACGCATGCCCAAACTCCCGGGGAACCCCACCAGGATAAACCTGGTAACTCGAGTCTGATTTTCCACCTCCATCCTGAAGGTACAGGGTTTAGCTGTCCTGCAGAAAAGAATCACTTGATCAAATCAATGACACAATTAGAATCTCTCGTTCAGTGGGCCTGAAGAGAATGGTGCATTCTGATTATTGGTGACAGCAATATTTATTAATATCATGTTATAGATTATGACCAGGATACATTATTCACATTACATAATTTAATTGGCAACAGCCTGTTTATATATATTTATTATGTCCATTTCAATAATAAAGAATTGAGTGTTGGAAAGATTGAAGTGACCTAACAAGCTCCCACTGATAGGAGTACACTCATTTCTAAGTATAAAACCACATTTTATGTAATATTCTAACCGCCAGTTTGAAAGGACAAACCAGCACCCCATTCCTTCATCTGCCTGAAGCCCTGGGAGTTCTTCCTTACAACGCATTCAAGTCTCATACACTATTGCTTTCTTCTCCTCTATCACCATCACAGACAGAGAGTGGCTGTCACTGCCTGTGACTCACCTGACATGGTGATGCGGAAGTTGGACTATTCAGTATTAAACCTCTGGACCTCATCCAAGCCCAGGTCTGCCAATGATTTGCTGTGTGACTTTGAAACCTCAGCCTCTTTGAGACCCTGCTTCCTCTTTTGTAAATGAGAATTTGAATGTCAATAGGTATTCGACTGATGCTGTCATAGGACAAAATCCAAATGATACCATGCAAGTGACATGGTATGCATACTATAGTAAGCATGAAAGGAGCTCTTGCCTCACTTTGGAGCAGGAAAGAAGGTGAATACCAGGAGGGAGAGTAATTGTTTGGATGGCAGAGTGGAGAGCAAAGCACTTCAGCCCTTGCTTTCGGGGAGCTTTAAATTCATAGGCTGAGAAGATCTATATATAGTCTTGGAAGATCTACATATGAAGATAGGTAAATAGATCATAGATAGGTAGAATTGCATAAATTGGAGATATTTTCTACAAATATTATTTAAAAAACCAGACTAATCCTTTTGTAATCTGCAATTTCCCTGTAACCTTGGAAGATGTGCCATGTAGGTAGAAAAGAATTGTTAGGTGGAACGCTTTGAAAAACTTGAGGGGCAGGGCTGTTATGAAGTGAAGCCACCATTGTTATCCTGGGAAGGGCGGGGAATTTGAGAAGATCAGAACAGACTGGGCTTGTGGGTCATAATGAAGAATCTGAATAGTGGTTAATTCAGTGGGAGATGACATGATTCCATTATGGGAAGACAACTGCCATTTTAAAATGGGCTCCACTGTAGCCTAACAGAGAGCAGTGAGTCCTGAGGGAAGTTGTTCAGAGAAGGTGACAGAGACCTTAAACACTGATTTCAGAGAAGTGGTGGATATAAGAATCTTTAGCAGTAATTTGTGCAGGTGAAATAGAAGGAAAGGCAAAGAAAAACAGAATTTCACTTATGTGATTTATTAAACAGAGGTGCTGCCATCTACTAAGATATGACTACCAAAGATTTTACAGGTACTTTCATCATACATAAATAACAATTGAGAACTTGTTAGAGTTATGTTTTGATTAGCAATGACTCTAACGATTTGATTAGTATTAACACTAGTGATATCCTCTACAAAAATTTATTGGATTCTTGTTAGGTTTCCAGAAGTTTGCTATGTTGTTTTCATATAGTATCCCGTTTAGATGAGTGAATAAAGTTAATGAGATATTGTCATTCTAACTGCATAGAAGACACCATTTTTCAGACATATGAAGTAACATTTCCAGCTAGCGTGATAAAGTCATGCTATACTATACTCAAGATCTTTCTTGGCAGCAAAGGCATGCACTTAATCACTGCGCTGACTCTCATATAGGGGAAAAAATATGTGACCCATTACCATGTTTTTACATTTTAAATTTCTATTTTATGAATCATTTTCTCACCACATTAAAATTTCCTACAGGAACAGCCCATTATAGATGATCACAGATTTTTAAAAAACCAAAACAATGTGACATGAGTATATCCAATAAGAAGCACAAAACAGATGTGAACACATGGAAATATTTGATAAATGCATCACAGAAGAAATATCCTTAGGTATCCTTAGGTATATCCTTAGGTATATCCTTAGGTACATGAGTAGGTGAGCTATGCAGAATTTTAGGCAGATGAGTCAAAGTGAGAAAAGACACAGAATTATAAAACAGCCTGGCACATTCAGGAAAGCAATGGGTGTATCATCCTAGCTGGTCCTGGGGCATCAAGAGCGGAGAGACAGGAGATGTTTAAGGTGAAAACTACCGTGACCTGGGAGCTTGAAGCAGCTACATGCATAGATGAGATGGTTCAAGTCAGGGCACTTACCTTGTCTTCTGCAAGGAGGTGGAATGTGAGAACAAATTCTTCACTGCTTCTAAAATTGGAAGAAGTAGGAAAAAGAGATTCAGATATTGAGTCATTAAGAGAAACCCACTCCCTAATCCTAAAAGGAGTGACCAGACCCAGATTACCCCACTGCTTTCAAGCTGATAATCAGGACTGGAGGAGAAGGCAGTCCTAGACACTAAGATAGTATCTGTGCCCAAGGTGGCACCAGACTGACTCTTGCAGTATCCTGGGCCCAGAGCCCCCATTGCCTTCCTAGGGAGCAGGGCTCTCAGGGATGCCAAGCTGGGAAGGTCATTGGCTACTGAGGGCTTTACAATATTTCACAACTTTTCCTGCATCTCTGCCAAGACCCAAGAGGAAAGAGTTTTGGTGATAGCAGTTTGAATCTCCATGGGACCCAAGAGAAATTTTGTTTGCCTATGGCTATCATATTTTTCTTATGTAATAGTTCCATGGGGGAGAAATCACTGATGGCCCCATACTTTGAAATAGCCACATTTTAATTTATTCTTTGTTGAAAAGTGAAAAGAGATTAAAAAAAAAGTACTGCTTTTAAATTTCTACTCACAGATTTTCAATTAGTATTCAACTTCTGGCTTATTTGAAATAGTTCTATGTTTCAAGGGAAACGATGATACCTGAAGAAGACTGATACTGATTCACTTTAGTAAAAATTAAATAAAAGCTTTGTTTTAAATATTCATGTCATATCTATGTGTTAAATAAATTTATCATGATGGAGTCATTGTTATTTTGCCAGCTGCCCTGAGGTAGCACTTGAGTAATATCTCACTTCTGGGATAAAGTGTTCATTAATTAAATGTCACTTTCCTGTGGCCTGCAGAACTCTTAGCTCTCACACAAACGAAAGCTGTCAGACTCTTCATGGTTTCATGAAAAGCTAAAGAAACATGGGAAATTATAAACAATTCATTCTGAATTGCCACTGGTGCTTACAGTAATTATGCAAGGAGGCTTCAACACAGCTTCTCCCACAAATTGAAGTTTGAAAACAAAATTGCAATGAATAAAAAAAAAGGGATTGTGGTAGTCAGGGGTTGCCTGGAGAACAATTAGAATCAGGACATGATGTTTAAAATATTATTTTTATAATGGTCACCAGGAGTTAACACAAGAAATTGCAGGAAATCTATCCACAATACCAAAGACACAGAATATTTAGCCAAGGGCCTGAATCCCACAGCAATATCCCACATGAGTCCTGATGAAAATCCATAGCTCATGACAATGCCTCCGAGTCCAACTGGAGGTCCAGAGCCCACAAGAAGGACTCATGCCAGGCTCTTTTACTGATCCATGCTGAGAAGGCCCAAAGATCAGCGTTGGAAGCTAGAAAGTCCATGCCAGTTGGGTGAAGCAGCTGTGCTGGTGGGATGAGGGTTCTACGCTGGAGGTGCAGAGTCACACTCACAGCAAGACCATGGCTGTCTTGAAAAGCACCACAGCATCCTTAGCAACACGGAGGCCCCGAGCTCCTCTGACAATAAGCAGAGTCAGGTACATGCCAGGAAGCAGCATGACAAGTTCATCCTGGAGATCAAGCACACATGTCTTCCCTCTGAAGCCAGGAAGCAATGCTTGATGTGAGGACCAGAGCTTCTCCAGAAGAACCAACAGCTCAAACAGCAACTCCTAGGAGAGCCTACAATGCCTCAGTGCAACAACACATTAATGCCTCCATGCCTTAATACCTTCCTTCTCCTTCTCCACCTATTTATGCTGACATCTTTCCTCAGGTGGAGCATCTTCGCTCAGTGCCATACTGATGTAATCCAACTGGCATTAAGTTGACCACCAGTTCTTAATCCATAACAGGATTTTTTCAATTATTTGGCCTCAATCTATCTCAAAGTCTGAAAAATATTCTAATGTCTCCTAAAATAGATCATTGGACATTAATTATAATTTTCCAACAAGCATTTAAACTATTATGGTCAGTAATAGAAAGATGGCGGAAATTTGACTGAACATGTGGTGTTTTACTATGTTTAGCTCATCAGTGTGAGCTGGGGAGCAGGGCACTTCTCTAGAGGTAGGAATACACCCCTCTGTGAGAGGACACCAAGGATTACTATGACTATGATCTTTAACTCTTGTGCCACAATTCCATACAAATAATGCTAAATAGATTGGAGAAAACCAGGAGACACAAACCAGCTATATCCCATGATACATTGCTCATCCTCAACTCTGGCTTTTCTTGAATTTTATTGATTGTTTTTTTGTCAATAGCTTTTGGTAGTTTCAGGCTGGCATCTTCGACAGACCCTTTTCCAGGTTATATTGGAAGTAATAAGAAAACCAAGGAACTCCTGATGCTGTTCCTTAAGTCTTATGATTCCCTGTCTGGCTGTCTGCCTTCTTTCTTCAGCATCCTCTAGCGTTTATACCTGTGTTATATCCAGATTTTTAAACTTTAAGGAGCAGCTCATTTTTAAATTATTACTCAATATTCAATTGAATGAATGCAGCATATTTGGTTATCTATTCACCAATTGATGGACACTGGATTTGGTTTAGGCATACCTTCACACATATGTCTTTATAAATTTACTTTAGCCTTTGTTTGCTATTGGAAAGAGCTATAAGGTCTTCCAGATGTGAAATCTGAGGGTCTTTCAGGCCTTGTCTTAG